ATCGCAACGATTAATTTATCAAAATTTTTGGCTGAAAATTTGCAAAGAAAGAAAAAATTGGTAGCAATAATAACTTTATGGTTGCAGAATGAAAGTGATGCTGAAGATCGAAGTCGAGCACGACGAGGAAAAAAAGCTTTAAGTTTTCGCAAGAAACACTAATCAAAAGTGAAAAATAATACTTAATATTGAACTATTTTTATATTATCTGTTTTTTTTTTCTTTGATTGATATTACAATGGTAAAACACTGAAAGGTGGAATTAAGTCGCTCTGTCGGACATTTGCTTCAATTTTATCACTGGTAAATCGATATTTTTATAGAATTTAAAAAAAAAAAAACAAATATAATTTTCAAAGTTTAACACAAAGTGGAAAAAAGTCAATAAATATTAGTAAAGCGAGAAAAAAAAAAAACTTGGTATCTTTTAGTTTTCTGCTGTTGTAAATCTGACAATGATTCAGTTTGTTGTTAATACCTTTAACCAGCGTAGCTTTCGCAGATTCCTGTCGATCTATGCAGCAGAACCTCATTTGCAATACTCTCTATACTTTTACTTTCTTTCATGCTTGACGTTAGATTGTACAACGGAACTTTTAGTATGTTTTTTTTTTGTGACTGTAAAGTTTGATATACAAAGTTAAAACTTAAATTTTTTTCACGGAAATAAAACATGATTTTCTATTTTTGGTGATAGAGCTTCATGCATTGTAAACGCTTTATGTATTTCGACTTGTGGGTCCTAGTACCGTTAAAAACCGATCAAATAGTACCTGTAGAGGCTACCAAACTTATTACTTTCACTTCATCACCTTTGAACACAGGGTTTTTAACTCAGATCTACAAAGGGTTTCACTGTTTTTTTGAAGCAATTACTGCATACTGTGACTGCAATGTCTTATATTCTTCTGCGTCTTTTGGAAGATTAAGTGTAAATTATGTATGAAATTAACGGAACAAACTATTATTTATTTAAAATAAGCTAAAAAAGCTGTTATAAATTACCAGAAAAGAGAGCAATTTTTGGCTCTTTTTGACCTTTATTTCTGTTGGTGAAAATGATAGATGTCAAAGATCGTTGTGTATTGTCATTGTTTTCACCTGTATTTCTACAGTCTCTATTGCTTATTGATAAGCCTTTCGTTTGTCGTCTGTTCTGTGTGATAAAAATGGAGCGTAGGAAGGGGATGCCGCCAGCTTTATGATGTGCAAAAGTTTTAAGTTATTCAGAACAGAAAGGGCGGGGGAGGAAGCGTAAAGGGGAAAGTTTTTAAACATTCACTAAAGATGTCGAGTCAATGCTTTTTGAATGTTGTAAAAATTGCTCATATCAAGGTTCTAATTTGATCGGTTTATAATAAGCTTGAACTACACGGGTGACACAAGTACAAAATTAATACAAATAAAAGACTACATTCTTTTCAAAGCTCTGAGCACAGATGTGTAGAAGAAACTTTTACAACATCTGTCTTGACCAAAACAGTTTTAGCCCAAATAAGATTCAGGGTATTTTGGTGGAGAATCTGTTAAGAGGTGGAGTGAAAATCAGGTAAATATCGAATTTGTTGTTTTTTGATTATAGTGTCAGCTACAACAGTGGTTATTATGCAAATAAATGATGAAGTCGTTTTGATCTTTAAACAGCAGTATTAAGTGGTGTTCTAAACAAGCCAAAAAAGTCTAATATTTTTGGCAGTATTCTGAATCAATAGTGCGTACAGTCGAATATCTGTTATCATAATGGCTGCAACAATCAAAAGAAAAAAAAAAAGCACTTAGTTTGAGCATTTTTGTATTTTATTTTCTACACGAAATTCTTGTCTGATTTGCTTTGTACATTGATGTTAACAAATACTATGAAACTGTACAACAAAATCAAGAACAAAGTCTATAGATGAAAGTTCTTTTACTATTACTCTCTTTTTTTT